GAAATCAAGCGTAGCGTTAGTTCTGGCAGGTCACGTTAGTCAAGCTCGCATCAGCTGACTCTCAGCGGATCCCCATCTACCTATAGGAATACGACACCTATCTTTAAGCATTCATATATGGTCCCTCAGTATTATCAGCAGTTTTCGCATTGCTCAATAGCTAATTACCCTCCTTCATCCCCAGCTCCTCCTCTTCCAGTCAGGATTCAGCCTTCTGATTCCCCTTTGAATCAGACTAATTTCTAAAATGTGTACATTAAATTATTGAACATAAATATATCATATCTGTAATGCATTTATGTTGGTCTGTTCTGTTTAGCCTAGGGGGGTTATCACTGCTCTCCCTGCTCTTATCCATGCTAGGCTGCATGGATGAGCAGGAAGTCATTGACCAGAGCATAGCTGTACCAGCTAATCCAAACTGTTTGCTAATTGTCAGTCATCTTTGACGATAGTGGTCCTGACAGAAGTAAAAATTATGTTTCTGTATATTTTGTTTCCGATTTGAAATTCCTTGCTCTAGCAGACAAACTGATTACATTTGGTTCATGTAAGACTTAGTTCTATAGAAATAAAATGCTTAAAAGTGTTTCCTTAAAAGAGGAAATGTATTCTAATCGCAATCAACCTCCCTTTTAATGTAATACAAAATATTTAGATAGAGATATAAATATGATTTTAAGACGGTTAAGAGGTAGTGTGAGCAAGTTTAGTTTGAAAAAGTTCATGCCCTGTATTACTTCTCGTGCGTGTTTTGTAATTGAAACAGAGTTGTCAGGGTTTCTTCCAAGTGGACTGTTGTGTAATGTGTGACCCCACATTGATTCTCCTTCTTTTTTTGTATGTTTGTCATGTTTATTATAAATAAATATGATATGCAAACATGGTATTATTATTATTTATTGTGCAGTATATTGGATGTTTAAAACGACTGAATCACCTACCAAATATTTAGTCATTAAAGGCTTATTTATCCTTATTTAACACAAATCAATGCAAAGATTTCTGTAGTATTAAACATAAATTAGTACTGATGAAAACCTCAGATTACCTGTTTTCCAAAAGATGTATTCATGAACAGTCTCAAGCAGTGGTGATATGAATCTTTGAAGTCTGTGTAATGTAGCTGAAAGCAACCGTCCCCTTCCCTCTGTCCCACCAAACAGGACTCTGCTCCACCCCACAATGATTTGATGGAAACTTGACAGCTTTCTTCCTCACAAATTCATGTTGCAATTCAATTTGCTGTCTTTAGTCTAAATACTCAGTCTGAATACCAAATGGCTCAGTGATTTTCTGGGCTTCATCAGAACAGAACTGTAACTTTGGTCATGTTTGTACAATAATATTAGCCGTTTTTTTTTAAGAGCCTAAAAAGAATTGATGTATTTTACATAGATTGTCAACTCTAAAAGTGCAGAACATTTCATATGGCATGGCTGGCATTCCAGTTTGTCTTTTTAAAAGATGATGATGATGATGACTGTGTCAAATCTCCATAAAGGATGCATAGAAAATGTGTCAATACAGTTTAATGCATATAGATATTAAAAGGTCCATTATTTATGTATTATTGCTCTTTCATATAAATCATGATCATAATACATAAAAGCATGTAGTGGTCAAATTTGTAATCAGTGGGAAACTAAGAGCATCATTTAATTGTCACAAAGGTAAAAAAAAAACAACAACAACAAAAAATATATATATATATAATTTGCAACTTTGTCTTTGGTCTTACAGAGATTTTGCAACTTTTTATTTGTATTATTATATTGTACATATCACTTAGCTGGCATTAAATGGTTTAATGTAGTTTTTAACATGCACATTTTAAATGTTGCTTTTAGCATTTCTTTAGTTTTACTTGCAATAAATCCAAAATCTAGAAATTGAATTGGGAACAATATTTTTTTATTTGCTACATTTATTTTTGTTGCTTCACCAATGTTTTGCTCTCACTGTCACTCACACACAGGTAAAGTCATCACTCCATCATTACACTGTTGTCTTAGGGGAACACCTCCTAAAACATCGCCCCTCTTACACACAAAGGTGATGTGATCATCATGTGGTGCGAACATCTTTTGTCGATTAACATAGGCCAACTCTAAACCTCTTCTTTCCATTTCCTCCACCGTCACTGTACAGGGCTCTGAAACAAACCCAGCATGTCTCTATCAGTGTCACAATATACATTCATTAACTAATCATCACAACCTACAACTTAAACTACAAGACTACATCATGATGTGTTTATATGATATATATGGTGAAGCGTGTTCATACTTACTTAAACACCTAATCTTCCCTCTCCATTCTCCTTGCACACAGGTCAAGTATCTGGAGAAAGATGGACGCAGATCCAATGTGTATTTATTAAAGCAGCTGTATTCAATGCTGTCCCCTGTATTGTATTCCTTTTTTGTTATTTCTATTGTATCTGCATCGTTCACGTCTGGTGGTGGTCCACAACTGGTGGTCTGACCTAAAGCATATAACATGTTATATATTTCATACACATTACAAATTTGAGAATGAGGTAATTTGAATAAAATGTTGAAGAAAGAGACAATATGTTGGAGATATTCAAAATATAATGATACAATGATAATGATATGATATACATATGCGATATAATGTAATATGTTATAATAAAAACTAGATCCAAATAAAATTCAGAAATTAGAAAATTTGAGTCGTGTTTGTTTATCGATGCAAACTTGTCCCCTCGGTGCTAGTTTATAGGTTGTTTTGTGCTGTTGCTAGGTTGTTCTGGGTGGTTGCTAGTTGTTTGCTTCTTGGCTCAAGTGAAGAGAAACTTGTGTACTGATGAGTTTTGTACCAAACTTTAGCATCTACTTTAAAATGAGCAATAGTGATGTTTGCAGACACTGCTAATAAAATTCGACTAAGTAAACCTCACTAATAAATTTCGGGAATGGGACGTCCTATTCTCCATTTGATTGACAGGTCATTTTGTTCGGTCCTTGTAATGCAGATCCACTCCCAACTAGTGTTGTTTTTGGCGGCCTGTTTTAATTTTAGTTTTAGTCTAGTCTTTGTGTGAAGCTGTCATTTTAGTTTTTATTAGTTTTAGTCACGTTCATTATTTAGTCATAATTTTCGTTGACGAAAGCAACACTACTCCCAACACATAAAAGAGTTATTTCTTGGCCTGGTCTGATTGAAACCTTGAATTCCAATGTGGTGTAGCATAACAATCACATTTTTGTTATATGGCATAGGTCTTCAACCCTGTTCCTAGGGACCCACTGTCCTGCGAAGTTTATTTCCAACGTGCTTCAGCACACCTGGGGCCCGTTTCAGAAAGGAGGTTAAGTGAAAACTCTGAGTATGTTAACCCTGAAATGAGGGAAACTCTGGGTTTTCCGTTTCAGAATGGGAGGTTTGTCAAACCCGAGAAAGCAGGGTAAGTCAAGGCCGTTTCTGAAAGAAAGGTAACTTAGAGTCAGTTACTGTGGTAACTTACTCTATGAACCTAACCTGGTCGGGAGCAGGTTTTCTTCGGTAAACCCAGAGTTTCTTACGGTGTCCTCCCCCTTTTTAAAGCGTAAGCGATGTTTAAATACCTCATTCATTCATTCATTCACGCTGCAAAAATGCTTTTCTTACTGAGTATTTCTGTCTTATTTCAAGTACAAATATAAAAAAATTCTTAAATCACGATGCATTTTCTATAAAAGGAAAATGATATAGCCGAAGTTTATTCTTGTTTCCTGGGGGAAACAAGTGCATTTAAGTGAATTTTACTTAAAACACGTAACATTATCCACCATGTGGTAAGAAAAATCATCTTAATGCAAACGTAAACAAGATTATTTCTTGTTTCCCTCACCTCCCCCCTTCAAACACCAGACACCGTCAAAGTGACAAAAATGGCATGTCCTTTTATACTGTAGATGAGGAGGCTGTATTAATTCATAAGGAGTTACATTTTTTGTGCCATATCCACATGAATATATATTTATTTAGTAGTTTTCTATATCGGGGATGCAGAGCACATTAGTAAGGCCGCTGTATGCAGAGCCGTAACGAAGGTATGCCTCGCTGACGTTCACTTGATAACATCTTGCGGCGACCGCTGGAAGTAACCCAATAATTAGAATTTCCTTTAGAATTTCCAGTGTGGTTGGATGCATTGATGACGCGCATATTCCCATCATCGCACCTTCCGAAAATTAAACTGATATGGAATGGAAGGATGCCATATAGAAGTAGTCCGAGATATATGCTGTAACCACCACCACAGCTGTTACTTAAACACAAATTATGCACAGTTTATTTGGTCATCTTTATTTCCTACAAATACAAAAGCAAGAGTTATTCATTTTTTTTTACTGTTGGATTTTAGTATTCTTCCAATACTTGGTATTATGGCCATCTCCTCTTCATCTGTTCTTCATTATTTTGCGAGCCTTCTTGCTGTTGACTGAGTAGAAGTCAAATGTTAATTTAATTACTCTAATTAAGAAATGTAACAGGTTGGATTAGAGAATCTTTAATTATGTGAAAAGATTAGAGTACGTGAAAAAAGCTGCTGCACATTGAAATAGACACTGAATGAAATTTATTTAATATATCAAATGTTTGTAGCCTACACCCATGAACATTTTATGCTTAAAGCTTTACCTGACTGATTTTTTGTATACTTAATTTTTAGCTGCCGTCACGGTCTTCTTTTTTTTTTTTTTGCCCATGGGATACCATGAAAATTAATATTAGTTCAATAACCTACCGTTCTGCCAGTTTTCACCATTTTATTATAACAGTGATTAAGAATTAAACTTATGTGCTGACTCAAAGTATGCGGACGTCTTTTTGTCGGTGTTGTTGCCATGGTGAATCATAATATTAGAGCACCATTGATCATCACTTTTCATAGTCGGGGTGCACATGCTAAACTCAGAGTCAACCTACTCAGAGTCGACTGAACTAACACAAATTCAGCTGTTCTGAAACCGAAAACTCAAGAGTTTCCAATCTCAGGGTAAGTCAGCTCTGAGTTCAAGTTTTAACTCCGAGTTGGTTGAACCTCCTTATTGAAACGGGCCCCAGGCCTGTGACTTTTCAAGTGATCTTGAAGACCTTGATTAGCTGATTCAGGTGTGTTTGATAAGGGCTGGAGCTGAACTCTGCAGGACAGTGGGTCCCCAGGAGCAGGGTTGAAGACCTATGTTATATGGTATTGCGCAAGCATCATTACAACTAGGAAAACTAGGTTAAAGAGATGAGGAAAAAAAATGTAAAAAAAGACCAATCTACCAGCAGGTGCAGCGTGTGGCTCTGAAAACTCCTCACTGTTATGAAAGTATTCTGACATATGTCAGCATGACATCACATGAAGTCTCTATTATTGGGAAGTTTGATTCATTATGTGAACAGATTAATTTGATTACTGTGCTGCATTTTATGTAGCAATATAAAAAAATTGTATTAAAAAATAAAATATGTAATAAACAAATTGCATCAAAATATGAAATGATATAAAATAGTATGTATAAAATACGAACACAATATTAATTATGCAACATAATATTTTCCAGTTAAATATATAATATAATATAAAATGTTATCTAACATTATGTAAAATATTTTTTGAGCAATATGCAAAATAGTATATACAAATATATACAAAGTGTTCCAATACAGTTGAAAGCATAACAAAACTTCAGTCAATCAAGCATTTATTTTTATATGGTAGTGATGCGTGACACATTATTGATAATTCAGTGTTTCTGTAATAAAAATGGAACAGCAATAATAATAAAAATACTACTATTAATTCTACTACTGATAATATTATGAAACGCTATATGGTCTAATAAGCTGTTGGGCTCATGACTATTAATTACATTGTCTGCATTCACTCAAGTGAGATATAATAAAATACACATATTTGAAGTGAAGGCATTATGTTTTAATAATGCCGAATGCATAATGTAAACCAGGGGTCTCCGACCTTTTTTTCGCAGACCGGCTGGAGGGGGGTGGGTTTTATATACTATATATACTATATATATATATATATCTCATAACGGATCATATTGTGGTTTTTGGGTCTTGGATGTCTTTTCAGATAAGCAAGAATTTTTTTTTTTTAAAGCACAGAGAATGACAATGCCGAGGGTTTTTTGGACATAATTTTATGTGTATGTATCTCAAACTCAAGGAGACATGAAAGAGGAATCAACTCGGTATTCTCTCGCTGTCTGAAACACATCTCTGTGCGTGTGCGCGAAGCTTCGGGTGTGTGTGGCTGCTGTGCACACTGAAAACACCACGTGAGTAACGAATCGAGTTCTCTTTCGCTTCTTCTTGTGGTTTAAAATAGTTTGAACGTGTAAATTGGCAAATTAATCTGCGAATCACATGCGTGCCGAACTGTGGGGCCTGGTCTGTAGGCTACGTATCACGGATAAACTGTGATCCGTTTTAACCTCTAATAGTATATACTGTATATGACAGATCAGAACAATCATTCATTTACTAATTGAACATTTAATTTACATGAAACAAATTGCTACTCCATAGCAATCGCATACAACAAACGAAAATACAGAATAATTAGAACAATCATTAACGCGCAATAAATAAAAGTGTCATACATTTACACATTTTCCCCAGAACATTTTTGCTACCCGGTAGCAACTCTTCCATGGCCCGGAACTGGGTTGCGACCCGGTGGTTGGGGACCTCTGTAATACTGTATTCTAATTACTTTTTCTGGTAACACAGTAATGTAACGTATTACATTTTAAAGGGGTCATATGATGCGATTTCAAGTTTTCCTTTCTCTTTGGAGTGTTACAAGCTGATTGTGCATAGATAAGATCCCTGAAGTTGCATAGACTAAAGTCTCAAAACCAAAGAGATATTCTTTATAAATTTGTGTAATTTGATTACAGTTACTAAAGTCAATATAATTATGTTACTTACGTTACAAATGTAGTGTTAAGAAAAAAAATATATGCCTTTTAAAATCACGTTTTGCGCGGCAGTGTCAGTTAACCCCCTGGGGTCGACGGAGGCGCCGGCGCGATCACTTGCATTTTTTCCTGATAACAGCGAAATAACTTAAAATGCTCTGCCATTTTTGACCGTACATATAAGTGTATTACATCATTTGAATCTGTGAAGGGTCTGCTTTTATTTGTGTACACTCACAATATCAACAAAATTTGTGCTTTTGTAAAATAAAGAAAATATAGGGTGCGCTTTCAGCTGTCTCAGTCTCCGCGAACTTCTTTCTGAAACGCGTCACTAAAATGAACCAAAACTCAGCGAATACTTCACACACAGACATGAGAAACATATCTATGGAAAGCTTGAAGTGTCTGCTTTTAAATAAAGTAAGTCTTATCTAAAACTGATGAAAAAAAAATTCTATCCGTATGAAATCCGTATGAAACCAAAGCAAGGTCCAGTCTTTCCCGTCTGAGCTCATCTGTAATGTGATCACGCCCA